CTGCAGAAGGTGTTGACGGAGGAGGACTCTGGGGACAGTCAGCTTCCCACCCAGGGAGTTTAGGCTTGGGTATATCCCATGCATGGATAGTGGGAGCAGCGCACAGGAAAATGGACGTTGTCTTACCTGAACGTCCCTTTTCTGGGCGCTGCGTACACTATCCATATCCCGCCCGTTAGGGCTGCCTGCCCCCTGCTTATGACTGAGACTAGTTCTTGTTCCATTAGGTTAATTTGAGTTAATAAAGTTGAGTTTATAAGTTACTCATAGTGTGGATTCTTGTCTGCTGCGCCTTCGTTCAGACTGGGGGATCATGGGAACAGAGGCGTGGCTTGGGAGCCGGAAAGGGGAGGAAAAGTCTTTTGTTTTCACTCAGTTGTTTGCCAAGCACTGAAGGATTAACCCATGCATGGATAGTGTACGCAGCACCCAGAAAAGGGACGTTCAGGTAAGACAACGTCCATTCTGCTCTATGCAGATAATATAATTTATTTTCTATATGAGGCAGATTCATTAGTTATCTAATTTCACAAGTATGTTGAGTTTGATATCCTGCTTGGTTACTTCACTTTTTCCCCCATTCATTCATGTTCAATTGAGGAGGTTACCTGAGAAAATTCCTGCCGTTTTCTTGGCAAGGCTTTTCAGAAGCGGTTTGCTATTGCCTCTTTCCTAGACTGAAATAAAGTGACTGGTCCAAGGCCACTCAGCTGGTTTTGTGCCTAAGGCAAGACTAAAACTCACAGTTTCCTATTTTTTAGTTTGATGCCTTAACTGCTACATCAAACTGGTTCTGGTCACTTCATAACCTGGAGCAAATCAGAGTTGATCGTGGTTTAGCAAACAATGAGCTGACCAAATGTACAGGTAGTGAGTACTAAACTATGTGGATAGTAAAACTAGATGAAACTTGATGCAAACAACAAATGTGATAAGATTAAGTAGGTGTAAAGTGATCAACACTGGGACGTAGACACTTCATATCTGCAGTGATGGATTCTGAGTTGTCTATAAGTATACAGGAAATGGATCTTGTGGTCACAGTGAGAACTCAGCAAGGATGTCAACTCAGTGTGTGACAACTATGGAAAAAAAAAACTCGGCTAGGATCATTAAGAAAAGGTTTGAAAATAAAACTGCCAGCATTGCAATACCTTTATGCATATTTATGATTTATCCACCTCTGGAATACTCTATCTTGTTTGTTTACTAATTAGATTTATAGGGCTGCCCATCTCAAAAAAATGCAACTTTGGACAGCATACAACAAAATAAAATAAACAATAACCCCTCCCAAAACCCATCAGCCACATAACATTAAAACATATATAATCTACAATCTATAGATCTACAGTCTATAATACAAAGTATAAAAATGGCAACTAAGCACTATAATAAAACAATAAAAGAGGACCCCAGACAACTGGTCACTAATATCTGGGGAAACAGCTCTTAACAGGTTTTCTAAGGGATTAGAGTTGAGGCCTGGGGTAGGGGAAGAATAATTCCAGAGAACAGGGCAACCACAGAAAAAGTATGCTTTTTAGGTCCTGTAAGATGACAAGAAGGAATCTGGAGTATCTCTTGATGGGAATGTGTGAAGTGGGTAGATGTTTTTGGGAGAAAGCAGTCCCTCAAGAAACCCAGTCCTTTGCTGTGTAGAGCAATAAAAGTGGTAACCAGTACTTCTTTAATCACACCCAGAAGCCTACTGGGAGCCAGTGCGGCTCATGGAATAGTGGCACCATCACTCATAACTACCTATATTACTGCATTTTAGACCAACTGGAGCAGTGATGAAATCTGAACCGGTATGCTTGCCACTTATGCACAGTAAGCGTGCTGTGTGTTCACATGCACAGTACACACCAAACATGAGGTGTGTGCGCATGTGCAGTATGCACAAAACACACACTGCGCATTTGAAAAACTACCGGTTCAGGCGAACTGGTAATTAGCTACGATCTGACGATCACCTGTGCCGCACGGTTTAGCTTTGCTAGAAAGCAGGATTTCCTGCTTTTTAGCGAAGCTAAACTGTGCGCCACAGCTGATCCCCCCCTCACTGTTCTACTTACATTCCCAAGCCGCCTTTTGGTGCATGCTGAGCGCACGCATGCGCAGTACATACCAAAAGGAGGCTTGGGAAGGTAAGTAGAACAGTGAGGGGAGGATCAGCTGTGGGGAGCAGTTTAGCTTCACTAGAAAGCAGGAAATCCTGCTTTCTAGCAAAGCTAAATCATGCGGCACAGGTGATCGTCAGATCATAGCTGTTTTTTTACTACCTGTTCGCCTGAAACGGTAGTTTTTATCACTACCAGTTCGTCTGAACTGAAGCAAACCAGTAGTATTTCACCCCTGCTCCGAAGGCCACCTTTACACCCACAGCGGTGGGGCTCTGCCCAAGGGAGAATCGGGGGCCTGAAATTTCCAATCAGACTGCACACAAAACCCATAAATATTCAGTCTTGGTAAGGTTTAGTTTACATCCTATTCTTCCCCATCAAGACCCCAAAAGGAACATAACAGACCTGGAAAAAATGCAGAAGACTGCAGTTATAACAACCAAGGAACTCAAACACATTTCTTATGAGAAAAAAGTAGAATATTTAGAATTCTAGTTTGGAAAAAGGCAAAGAAATAGATACATAAATGTATAAAATTGTGTATGGCATGAATATGAAACTGAATAGAGAGACAATTTTCCCTCACAAAACATTAGGATAAGAGAATATAAGTGGAATTTGATTGGAAAGAGACTTAGAACAGAAAAAGAAAGCATTTCTTCATACAGCATGTAATTAATTCATAGAATTCATAATACAAGACATGGTGATTACTACAATTTGATGGCTTTAAAAGATGATTGGATAAATTCATGGTGGACAGGTCTGTTAATGACTGTGACATTGACAATTATTTATGTGAATTTCAGAATAACGAGCTTGATTATTATGTTGTCAGCCATATAAGGTCCTGTTAAAGAACATTAAATTTATTCCTTTGATCTTAAAATGAACTTAATAAATATATTGCACATAATGCACATTAGGGATTTATCCCCAGGAAAGAATGTTCTAAAGAATATTAAATTAATTCCTCTAGAGTGTGGCATTCCATATCAGTAAGATTTTAGCCATTTCATACCTTGGGAATTTATTATTGCTGATATAAATATTATCAATATTTTTATTGCACAACATTTAAAACATTTAATAAGTATTCAGTTGCCTTATTGCTAAAGTACGGTAGTAGTTTAAAATATTAGCCTTTGTGAATATTAAAAATAATATGGCTACATATATAGATGGCATAACAGGAAAAATAAGGGATATTTCTGGTTATTTATTTATCTATGAAAATCTTTTTGAAGTCTATATATTAATAATAATGTTATTTATTTATTTTATTTATGTATTTTATTCGGATTATATGCCGCCCTATCTCACAATGGACTCAGGGCGGCTCACAACAATAAAACACAAGCCACAATATAAAATAAAGACTAAAATCTAAAAAAAATTAAAATTAACCCTTAAAACCAATTAAAACCCCATCATCAGTCCAGGTCAAGGGATTTGAAAAGCCAAGTTTTTAATTCCCGGCGGAAGGTGCGAAGGTCAGGTGCTAATCGGAGCTCCAAGTGGAGTTGATTCCAGAGGGTGGGCGCACCGACCGAGAAGGCTCTACCCCTGGGGCCGCCAACTGCCACTGTCTAGTCGACGGCACCCTGAGTAGGCCCTCTCTATGGGCGCGAACCGGGCGATGGGATATCGTTGCTGGCTGTAAGTGATCCGCCAAATATCCTGGTCCTAAGCCATGTTGGGCTTTATAGGTCATCACCAGCACCTTGAATCTCACCCGGAGGGCAACCGGTAGCCAATGCAAACCGCGCAGGAGGGGTGTAACATGGGAGTATCGGGATTCTCCCATCACAACCCGCGCGGCTGCATTTTGCAGCTGAAGCCTCCGAGTGGTCCTCAAGGGCAGCCCCATGTTATTCCTATTTAAATACCAGACACTTTGGTTCTAGTGACTTCAGTTGCAGAGAATCAACAAGAACAATTTGTTTTATGTTACAACTTATGCTTCAAGTTCCTAAAAATGCAACAATGTAATTTAGTCATATATTTTAATAAAATATGTTACAATTATACATGGAATTCAGCATGATGTATATAAGCATTATTAATAATAAAGCATGCTCAGGCATCATATTAGTAAATAATATGATAACATGGAATTTGAAGAGTAGTTCTAAATATGGCATTTCACCTGCTTTTATTCAAAATAAGTATTTTAAGAAATACAAACTGCATGTAGAAGAAGCCTTACAAAATTATTCCAAATACCAGCTTGCCACTCTATACAGCCTATATCTTAATCAAGAGCACAGACTCTCTTTGAATGTTCCTTGATTGCTGGCAAATATAGGAATTGAGAGATACCAGATAAGTTTTCTTCAGACATTTAAAGCAAGTCTTTATCTAGAATGATTTGTTTTCAATGTTTTTCTGAATGATTCGTAAACTCACAAATCACAATTGCCTTTGTATATTTTGCCATCTGTAATTTGTTTTATAATAATATTTGAATCTAAACAAAAGACACAACTACCCCCTTTTAACTTAGATTTAAAATCTAGGTTTAATTTATAAAATGCCTTATCAGTCAATTTTGCATCCAAGCACAATTCTATCATGCTGTAGGAGAATAACATATTTTTTTCATAGATTTCTATTTATGTGTACATATATAAGGACTAGAACAGCATGATGCTGGTTAGCCTGCATTTGACATTCATGTTATTTAGCCTCAGTATCTGCAAAATTGTAGATATTTTATATAGCAGATATAGAAGAGCACAAAGAATAGCTATAGAAAACAACTTGCAAATGGGTGTTGATTTCATAATTAAACAAGTAGCAATTCTACAATTTAAATTGGGTATTTACCCAATTTACCATTCTGTGACTAAAAATCTTCTTTTGTTTTTATAGGAATCTACAGGCAGCCATTGGAGCATACTATGATTTTGAAAGTCCAAACATCAATGTGCCCTCCATGTCCTTTGTAGAAGATGTGACTATAGGAGAAGGAGAATCCATCCCTCCCGATACACAGTTTACAAAAACGTGGAGGATACAAAACACAGGTGATTTCTGAAGGTCTCTTCTCTATGTTTGTGTTGATCTAGGTTTCTTATATTTTTTTTTCTAGAAATATAATGTTTTGCTTGCTACAAGAACTAATCAATACTTCTGGACACTTGTACCTGTGCCTAAGGTCTTTGGTTAGTGCCATCTTTTCTTAAAAGAAAGGCTGGGGGAAGGGGTTGGCTAAATAATTCCTGTTGAAGTTGGAGGAAGGTTTCATCCTATACTTGCAGATTTATTTATGTTGTTATGTTGTGTTGTCCTGTGCTGTGTTATGCTGTACTATGTTATGTTCCTGTGGTTTTCTTGGCAAGATTTTGGAAGTGGCTTGCCATTGCTTCCTTTCTAGGGCTGAGAGAGAATAACTGGCCCAAGATCAATCAGTTGGTTTTTTGCCTAACATGGTACTAGAACTCACATTCAAATGGCACACAAACTTCAAAGAACACTTAAAAATGCTCACTTAAATGTATACATAAATTTAACATTCACCATGTTTACATAGGGAAGGCATAGGTTCCTGTGGAGGAGTAAGTGACATCAATTATTATATTATGTAAGTTACATAATTGGCATAGTGATGTCATGAAATAAGACATTAGTATGGTTTCTAATAATGCCTATGTTGAGGATCTTTAAAATTGCTTTCATCCTTGAGTTTGTATGTGTGGAGGATGGATATAGAAGATTATATGTTTTTTCTTACCATTTTTCCTAATAGTCTTAAATGTATATTTTATAATGATCTTCCATTAGGGTAAATGTAGTATTGAATGGAGAATTCATTTTACTATCCTCAGATAGCTTAGACTGACTGCTTCCAATCTGAGGAACCCTTCCAATATGATAAATGTTGCTTCCTCACTGTTATTTTGACTTCCTGAAGCTTGGTTTTTCTTTGTTATCTATATTGAAAGGAGTCATGATTTTGTAATTCAGTAGGAAACTATAGAGAATGAATCCAAACATGTCATTATGTTGAATAGTCACACATTCTGATGTTAATGTCTACTTTGAGCCTTTCATTCCCTTGATATTTATATTTTTTCAATTACAAAAATATTTGGTTCAGAATTTTTTCCCTTCTTAAATTAAGTAAGGTATAGTTAATACTTTCGGATTGTATTTTCCGGCTGTTTTTTTTTGTTTTTTTTTACTTTATAATGGAGAAAACTCTGAAAAAAGTCACAATAATAAAATACTAAACTGGAATAGCCTACACAACATTTATAAAAATCCCCGGAGTTAACATTATGATGAAACCTTAGGAAGAGATTAAATGAGATGAGATGTACTACCCTTTAGGGATATGATTATCTGAGAAAAATTAGAACTGATGCAAGAGAAATAACTGTGCTGACAGATATTGCAGTGACAGGATATAACTTGAACTGCTGAATCTATGTATCTATGAGCTTATTATGTACATGAATGTTATAGAAGACAATTGTATTACAAAATATATCCAACTTTAAATAAAGTATGTTGTTATCCTTAAATGATATACAATGTTAACTTTATAATAGCTGTTCTAAAGGGACAAACATAAGTTGAGGCATCCTCATGACTGGACTTGATTTTATAATTATTTTTATCATGAGTGTTTAATGAATCACATGGTCATAAATGTGAATCCTTCTCCCAAATAGGTAGTTTTTCTGGAAATGAGCAAAACCCACTTGAAGTTAGCAAAAAAATAATAATTGCAAATTGGGGTCATGTGACCATGGGATGCTGCAACCAGTTGTAAATATGACTAGTTGCCAAGTGTCCAAAATGCAGTCATGTGATGTGGAGGGGGGGGAGAGAAGGTGCCACATTTTGCAAAAACCAGAAATGCTTACCTATCTGAGGCCGTCATAACTCCAAACTGTTAGTTTAGTTTTAGTTTAGTTTTATTATATTTGTATACCGCTCTTCTCCCAAAGGACTCAGGCTGGTGAACAGCCATGATAAAACAACATACAAGACAAAATGTAAAAAACATATTAAAACAATTCAATCTTTGGCCAAAATTAAAACTTCCAATTAAAACCATTTTAAACCCCAATTTAAAATCATTTATCTCGTCAGACCGGCTTGCGAAATAATAGGGTCTTCAGAGCACGACGGAAGGCGCGGAGGTTGGGGATCCTTCGTATGTCCGGGGGCAATTTATTCCATAGGGCAGGAGCCCCCACAGAGAAGGCTCTCCCCCTGGGGGTCGCCAGTTGACATTGTTTGGCCGACGGCACCCTGAGGAGGCCCTCTCTGTGGGAGCGTGTCAGTCGGTGGGAGGAAAACGGTGGCAGAATGCGGTCCTGTAAGTAACCAGGTCCTAAGACATGGAGCACTTTAAAGGTGGTAACCAACACCTTGAAGCGCACCCGGAAGACCACCGGGAGCCAGTGCAGCTCGTGCAAGAGGGGTGTTACACGGGAGCGATGAGTCGCCCCCATTATCACTCGCGCAGCCACATTCTGGACCAGTTGGAGCCTCCGGGTGCTACTCAATGGGAGCCCCATGTAGAGAGCATTACAATAGTCCAGACGGGAAATGACGAGGGCGTGAGTGACTGCGCAAGGCGTCCCGATCCAGAAAGGGACGCAACTGGGAAATCAGGCGAACCTGATAAAAAGCCCCCCTTCGATCATGTACAGATCGAAGCACATACACTTCATGCTAGTAATAGATGGATAACTCATTTTGCAGGATTTTATGTACCGTATTTTCTGGCGTATAAGACAACTGGGCGTATAAGACGACCCCCGAATTTTCTGTTAAAATATAGGGTTTGGGCTATACTCGCCGTATAAGACTACCCCTCTTCCAACGCACACCAAATAAAAATAAAAAAACATCAACTGGCTCACCCACAATGTAAAAGCAGCTGTGCTAGACCCAAAATGGCCCCTGCAACAAGCAGGAACCTCACACAGCCACAAAAAGCCCAAAAAACCAACTTTCACACTTTACACACACAAAATTCCACATACAGCTTTATGAGATTTTGTGTGTTTGTGTAGTTAGAGTGAAACACTACAAAAACACACTAAATCTCAGAAAGCTGCACAAATATTATTTTATTTTATTTTTATTTTTATATGAAAGCTAAATTTAAAACTTCCTAAACTTTAAATGGCTAGGTCTAAAAAAGAACAACTAAAAAAAACCCCAATTAACTATTTTTTTAAAGATCCCAAAGGGGAAAAAACTTACCCAATAGAACAGGGGTCTCCAACCTTGGCAACTTTAAGACTTGTAGACTTTAACTCCCAGAATTCCTCAGCCAGCTTTGTTTTGCTGGCTGAGGAATTCTGGGAGTTGAAGTCCACAACTCCCTGCCTGCTTGATTGCAGGCAGGGAGTTGCTTGCTGATGGAATGGATTCAGGCAAGCGAAGCAAGGTAAGCAGCTAAGGTAAGCAAGCTGGAGGGGGAAAACTTTTTTCCTTCTCCATGGCTCTGGCGATCCCAGCTGAGTTGCCTGATTAGCAGATCGTCAGAGCTTGGATCCAGAGCCATGTGAAAGGAGAAAAGTTTTTTTCCTTCTCCATGGCTCTGGCGATCCCAGCTATGTTGCCTGATTAGCAGATCGTCAGAGCTTGGATCGCCAGAGCCATTTAAGGCTCGTCAGAGCCTTTCGGGCTGGTCTGCCTGGTTACAGGAGAACGACACCCGGGGTATAAGACGACCCCCGACTTTTGAGAAGATTTTCATTTGTTAAAAAGTCGTCTTATACGCCGGAAAATACGGTAATATGCATACTTGAAATTTCCCAGAAATTTTTATAACTCAGAATTAGTCTTATTTTTGTGCCTAAATTATATTTGCCAAAATAAGTTATTTGAAGGTGTATTTTTCCACTAATCGAAGAAAGTTAATATCTTGATATAGGATTCCTATACTGTATCTATCTTTTTTGTATTTTAAATCTACCTCATTTATTTTGTATTATCAATAAGTTGAAGACCATTGGTATTGCATATGTTATTGAAACAGATCTTTACCTGTATTACGGATATTTTTACAGCTTTATCAAACTATTACTAAATTTAGTTTAAGAAATATTTATTTTTAAAATGATGGGGTCAGATGGATATGATTGTAAATTCAGTGGATTCTACTGCTGTATTCTTTATTTGTGAACTTGTCCCTTAAAAATGATATTGAATAACAAGACGGTTGACCCAAGGTTTTGCCCACCTGGCCATTACATTAAGCATAGTAAATTAATTGATTAATTAGTTTTAGTTACACACTTTTCATGTCAAAGAAGTCTTGTTTCTTGTATCAGCAGTATTTCCTTTTCAATATATTGGTATGTTTTTATTCAGTTTATAATAAGAATGGGGATCAGTCTTGTGTCAGACAGAGGTACATTTCCATCCTGAACAATGGAACTGTGCAAAATGATCTGTCTTTTATCTGGCAGTTATTAATCTTTCCTTGATTATATAATGAAATGATGCACATGCAACAGGAAATGTATAATCAGATGCTTACGCTTATAATTTTCTTTCATGATTATAATGAATGACAAATGGCTTAATGCTACATTTGCTAAACATAGGGACAGAAGCATGGCCACCAGGAGTTTGTCTCAAGTATGTTGGGGGAGATCAGTTTGGCCATGTGAACATGGTCATGGTCCAATCGTTGGAACCCCAGGAGATTACAGATGTCAGCGTTCAGATGTGCAGTCCCAGTACTGCAGGAATGTATCAAGGACAGTGGCGGATGTGCACTGCTACAGGACTTTATTATGGAGGTAAGTATTACTTTCTCATTTATGATTTTTATTAGAGTTTGAAGAAGTATTAGTGCTGCTAAGATTTCTGATTCATGTCAAACTAATCTTTCCTATTAGCTACAGTCATGCTCAGTAAGAGATTGACATGTCAGTTAACATCCTTTTTTTAAAATATTGTGTCCTACTAAAATGGTCTACTTTTACTATGAAAATACAAATAGACTTATAACCACAATTGAGATATTGAGTGAAGCAATCATTAAGAAAACACCCACATACTGACTTTGCTCAACGACTGCAATCTCACCTCTTCCAGTTGTGGTCATTCAGTAACTGCATGGGATATTAAGTGAATGGCAAGAAAGAACTGCCTCCTGAAGAAGGGCAAGCAGCTCCCCTTCATGTGCAGAAGGTACAGGAACAGAGCTCAGATGGTTTTATAATACGTTTTAATTGTTTATTGTACACGGCCCAGTGTCACCTTGTATAAGATAGGTGGCCATATACATTTGATAAATAGAATCTATTAAAATGAATGAAGAAAGCAGTTTGAAGGGGCAACAATTTAAGAGTAACTGTTTACAGAATTACATTCTACACTGCTTTGTTTTGTTGCAAAAGTGACACCAAAAATTGCTCTGCTTATAATGCTGTTTTCTTTAAAAGATTGCCATAGCTACTTCAAAGATAAGCCACTGTTTCTTTTTTGGCAACTGCTTTTCCAAGAACAGGAAAAGTATATAATTTTTACAATAAATTATATTGTATAATTTATTATACAATATAAAAACACTTCTTATACAATATATTATACAATATATCTTATACAATATTATTATACAATATAAAAACACTTCTATAAAAATGCTGTTGTTTTGGAGAAAACTTTATTTCTTATTAAGTCATTGTTTCCTTTAAAAATCTATTGAATAATTATTTGGTATAATCTCTAAAATTAACATATTTTAACACCCGGTCTTCGTTATTTGATTTATATCCTGCCCATTTTACATACCCCTCGTCTTCCTATTTTTTGCTTTTATTTTCTCCCATACCAAACTGTGAGATAGGATGACCTGAGAGTGCATACTTGACCCAAACCTACCACTTCCTTTGCTAAAAGTGGACTCGACTTTCCCTAGTTGCAGTACATCTTAACTATTACAATATATTAGTTCCCTTTATGTACATATAAATTTGCAGAACAATCATTTTAGTATTTGTTGAGTCCTAGATAACTTTGTAATAATTGCTTATCCTGTGGTAATATGAATGCTCCCAATAGAGTATTTGAAATTATAAGGAAAGAATTTTTTTTAAAAGTATGTTTAGTTTCTTGACCATATTCAGATCTGCTTTGGAGTCTTAATTAACTTTTTGTGGATGTTGAACGGCTCAGTAAGAGGGATGTGATCCATCTCTCTTAATATTTCATCATCTTTTAGACCCAAAGGTCCTTTATCAAGAGACAACTGGACTTTCTGGTTTTTCTTTGAAGAAAGCAACCCATTTTGCTTCTCATCCAAGAAGCTTCTTCAGATCTGAATGGATGATGGGGAATGGAAGGATTTATACTCCTTGCATTCTTTTAGCAAGTTAATGATCACCTGGAGATTTATCTGTGTCATCAGGGTCACCTGAGTGGTGCAAATGGGTGTGGAGCCTTCTTGGAACTGTTGAAAGGACTGTGTTGTTGTCTGGAGATGGATGATGTCGTATCCTTCCCCCTCTGTTGAGAGAGGGCTGTTCAGTTTTGACATAGATGGTCTCTTTGATTGACCCCTCTTTCAAACCAGTGGTCCTCTCTATCCAAAATGTGGACTTTTCTGTCTTCAAAAGAGTGGCCTTTGTCTTTTAAATGCAGATGGACTGCTGAATCTAGTCCTGATGGGTTTGTTCTCCTAAATTCTCTTAAGGTCTTCAAAGAAAAACCCAGAAAATCCAGTTGCCTCTTGAAAAAGTACCTTTGGGACAACCATGACCCGGATGACTGAGAATCTCCATAGACATAATCTTTTAGACTAATTTTTTTCTGTTCAATTGTTTCTGATTCTTGGAGACTGCCTAGATATGAATTTTCTTGAGAAGGTTTTTCAGAAACTTTGGTTTGCCATTGCCTCTTTCCTAAGGCTGAGAGAAAATGACTAGCCCAAGATTTGGCTTTATGCCTAACATGGGACTAGAACTCACAGTCTCCCTATTTTTAGCCTGATGCCTTAACCAGTCCATCAAACTGGCTGTCAGAGTAATAAAGAATGATTTTTTTTTTTGCAAAACTATATTTAGATTAATAATGCGACAGCATGCAATTTTGTTTACTGTTACTAAAAATTAGCATTTTTATTAAATTGACCTTTCTTTGGAAGATTTTTAATGCACATAGTGCAGGCTGACCTTTGAAGGAAAAATATGGAAAACTCATGTAGAAGGAAATGAATATATTTTGAAAATTACTGAATAAGAACACTTCACATTGTGTTCTTTTGCAGGCATGATTCATAAAACTGACTTCTTATTTTATTTGTATTACTTATTGATATAAAATTAATATTTGCTTCCAGATTTTGCTGTTCCAAATGAAATATGAGAACAGCATTATTAATCAATTTTACAATATGTGTATCATATTAGGAAGGTACTTGAGTAAATATTACACTTACCAGCAGGTGTCAGTATATAACTTTCAAGTCTCAGAATGTTTGTTTTTTTTTTTAAATGTATCTTTTGTATGTGGGAAATTGAGTCTTAATTGGTTTTAGTCAGGGAGATTGTATTTGCTCTTTTTATTGTATATGCTTAGTTCATAAGCAGCATGCTAACTTGAAAAACAATGAGGTAAAGTGATACATAAGCTATAACATGTACTTATCCAAGATCTTTTTTCGTAGACATCATCTGGGTGATCCTTAGTGTGGAAGTTGGAGGACTTTTAGGAGTAACGCAGCAGCTATCATCTTTTGAAACAGAGTTCAACACGCAACCACATCGTAAGGTAGAAGGAAACTTTAACCCGTTCGCCTCTCCACAGAAGAACAGGCAACCAGATGAAAACAACTTAAAAGACCCTGGGGGTTCCGAGCTAGACACAATCAGCAAAAACACGTGGGGGCCTGCTCCTGACCAAATTGAACAAGATCAGACTGAACTGTCACAAAACTCTGTAAATCTCTCCCCCAGCAGTCACTCAAACAACTTATCAGTAGTGACATACAGTAAGGTAGGTGCCCTGGGGATACAAGAGATGGGAAGGCAATGAGTCAATGCCCTGTATTATGTCAGTCCTTCCTTCAGATGGTAGCTTCTCCTTGTTACATCCGGTTGTAATGGTGTACCGTTGTACTGAATCCTACTGTTTATATTGCAAGGTCTTTTGAATTAAAAAACAGGTTTAAACATGATTGTGCTAAAATGCTTTAAACTTATAAAAAATGGATACTGCATGCTGGATTTGATAGTGCAAAAACAAGAAAACTAATTTTTTAAAGACTATGCTTAAAATTAGAGATCTGTGAAATAATTAAAGCAAAGTTATGCAATTAGATTTCGAAAATAAGTGATAAACAGATGCTTAATACTTTTATGACAGAACATTATCTTTCATTTTTATTGAACTTTAATTTGTTATTTTAAATGTTTTAGTTCACCCTTTGCTAACTGTAACACACACACCCCTAACTATATTGCCATATAGAAAATTATAGAATTAATTGTTCAGCCCAGTATAATATAGTCAACTTGCATGTACTGAATCTGTCATAGTCTAATATACTGTATACAGCTTGTGTTTAAAATGAATCAAAACTTGGATCATTTACAGTCTTAGTGCTACATACAGTATTTTGTTTATTTCATACTCATTGATAGCTTGCAATATTAAAAGAGAAGAAGCTATGTCAGAAAAGATCTTGATGACAGAGTGATGAAAGGAAGGGAGGATGTGTAGGGTGTTAGGGGTTTTTTTTTTTGGTTCAGCTCCACCTACCTCACCAATTAACATCTGATGCCTAGAGGAATGAAGGCCTTGACACCTCCCCACCCCCTCTCTCCCCAATGTGACTCGTCTGTGGCAGAAATGGGCTTAAGTCTAAGCCTATTCAGTATGCCTTTTATGTTATTTTTGGCAGGGGGATAAATGTCTGTTGGATTAAATTTGAAAATAGGATGAGCAAAAATGGTTGGCTTGCTTAAGAAAGAGGAAAGGAAGATATATTGCAGTGGTCACATAATGGGGAAAGTGTACCTTGGAATTATGACAAGAACAACAACATTGTGCATTGAATCAGTGTATCAAAGAATGAAGAAGAGGAGAGGCAAAAACTTCATTTTAGGCCTTAGTGTCAGACAGATTTGGTGTGAGGAAAATATAAATTTCACTGAAAACTTCCTAAGAAACTTGGGAACAGTTGAATTTACTTTTAAAGAAAAAGTTGCTTCATTCAGGGTTAAATAAAATGTCATGCAATTATTTGTGATTTATTTTAATTTTCTTTTTTGTCAAATGACTTACAGATTTTCAAACTCTGGCGTCTGGCTATCTACCATCTTAATTTTCTTAATTTTGCCTTTGGGTCTTATATGTTCCCAAATCTACCTCTAAGATGGAGCTCTGGGTGGTAGAATTAGTTTACTGGGATGTGTAAACAGAGTGGGTTGAGAACATTTGGAGGTGATCCTAGATTATATTTGCTTCAAGGTGAAAATAATTCAGTTAAATATATCGATAAATAAGTGAATAGTGAGTTCAAGGATGTAAATTGTATATTTTAGAGTGCAGACGCAACTATTGTAGTATATTCCAGATTCTTAAAGCTAAAAATACAGGTAGTCCTTGTCTTATGATCACAATTGAGTCCAAAATTTCTGTTGTTAATTGAGACATATGTTAAATGAGCTTTGCCCCATTTGCGGCCTTTTTTGCCACAGTTGTTAAGTGAATCACTGTAGTTGTTAAGTTAGTAATAAGGTTGTTAGGTGAATGTGGTTTCCCCTTTTACTTTGCTTATCAGAAGGTCTTAAAGGTGATACATGACTCTGGGACACTGCAACCATCATAAATATGAACCAATTGCCAAGCATCTGAATTTATCACATGACCATGGGGATGCTGCAACAGTCGTAAGTGTGAAAAATGGTCATAAGTCACTTTTTCAGTGCCATTGTAACTTTGAAAGGTCACTAAATGAACTATTGTAAGACGAGGACTACTTGTACTTCAAATTAAATAGTTAATTTGAGTCATTTAATGTGAGTTAAAACACTTCAAAGGCTCATTGAGTTCTGTTACTGTATCCTGAGCATGTGTCAGTATACTTGATATATGCTAGTTTTGGGGTGAAGTCAACAGTAAGCTAGTGTACAAGGTTATTCTTTTGATTAGAGATCCTAATTTGCATAGAACATAGCAGGATCATGCATGTGATTATATACAAGATTTGCCCCAAATTTTCCAGAATTTTCTGATATTATTCTCCCTGTTTGCAGGAGATACTGACACAACTAAAGCTGGTATCCTAGTTTGTATATTCTCTATATTAACTGTAAAGCATTATGTGAAGGCCTTGATTGACTAAGTTATGATGCACAGCAGAAATATCATGGGACGAAGAGGTAATACCACATCATATAGAAGACTACAATTTGTAAGAGAAATAAAATGCCAGCATGAATTTTAAAAGAACATGAATTAATAAAGAATGGCTGTAAATTAAGAGAAAGGAGACAAAAGTAATACATCTGAATGAAGGTAGTCTGCTTATGGGCAGAGGAATTGATGAATATATACAAGGAAGTGAAGATAAAACATTAACTATGAATTATGAATAAAATGTATATCAGAAAATATGTGTCATCTATGTTGTATGTATGAAAGTCAGAATCTAGTTTGGTTTCAATGAATGGCAATAACAGAAAAACAGATAAATTTTGGGAAGAATTGTATAGCAGTCTGAATTAAAATAATCTAGTATTCATTTGTTACATGTCATAACTGGATGAGTGGGAACAAGATGAGACAGCACAGAAAGTGTGTGTTCCATTCATACCTAACAATGAATGAGAAGGATGATTGGTTGTTGCTGTTGTTAGTTGCAAAGTCGTGTCCAACTCATCACGACTCCATTGACAACGTTCCTCCAGGCCTTCCTGACCTCTGCCATCCTCTGGAGTCCATTTAAACTCATGCCGACTGCTTCAGTTGACTCCATCCAGCCACCTCATTCTCTGTCGTCCCATTCTTCTTTTACCCTCAGTCTTTCCCAGCATTAGGCTCTTCTCCAATGAGTCCTTCCTTCTCAATAGGTGGCCAAAGTTTGAGTTTGAGTTTCATCTTCAGGATCTGGCCTTCTAAAGAGCAGTCAGGATTCATCTCGTCTAGGACTGACCGGTTTGATCGCCTTTGCAGTCCAAGGGACTCGCAGGAGTCTTCTCCAGCACCATAGTTCAAAGGCCTCAATTCTTTGGCGCTCAGCCTTCCTTATGGTCCAAGGATGATTGGTGGTTATGACCAGTGATGGGTTGCTACCAGTTCACCCCTGTTCGGGCGAACTGGTAGTAGCAGCGGGAGGCTCCTCCCACCCACCCATATGTCATCAAATATGCTGTGCGCATGCGCAGAAGCTTCTGCGCATGCGCAGAAGTGATGTGTGTGAGAGTGAAGCGAGTGTGCACGAGCGAACCAATAGCAAAGGTAAGTGAAACCCACCACTGGTTATGACCAATAATGACAAATAGATAAATATACATTTAAAAGCATTTAATTGTAATAAAAGGTTGAATGACTAATAACAAGGAAGAGAAAACATTTTTAGTGTTGGATAGACCATTTCATAATAGTGTCAAGAGTGGCTTTTGGAAAAAAAATGACATGACATAAAAATGAAAAAAAAATAAAAGTGAAAATAGGAATACTGCCATATGAAAAGTATTAAAAGCTAGATTAATTTACCGGCAGAATGAATAAAAAGTTTATGTAATGAAAGGGAACATGTCAACAGATTGGAACAGAGTTAAAAGAATTATGGTTCATATTGCCACAGAACTATGTGGAGTTTATGTTAATGGAAAATATGACAGAGATTCCTTGGGTAAACAGACTGTAATGGTAAGCAAAATCCAACAGAAAATAAATATTACAAAAAAATGAAGGTGAGATAAAGATATAATATGTCAAGACAAAAATGATTGAGAGGCAGAATAATACAGAATAATTTTGATGCAAGTAAGAGAGCTTTCGAAGAGGGCTTTTGAAGTGGGCTAAACAAATTCTTCAGCAGACTGAATGGAAGTAAAAATGAAAGTGATAAGAATAATTTGAGATGAAACAGGTGAGAGAATCCTGAAAAATGTATTTTAGAGATCTATCTGAAAATAAAGTGTCAAAATGAAATAAATGCAATAAGCTTTAGTGCTCTAGAAAAAATGATGAAAATGAAATCATAAATAGCCACGGTTCAAAATGATAAGGTTGCAGGTATAGATGATGTAACTGGGAAAATGTTCAGTAGTGGGATAGATTGATTGTGAAGACACTGATTTATTTAATACTAGCTGAATACCCGTGCTCCGCTACGAAACTATGTGATTGGGCTTGATAAATCGACACAGCTTGAAAATTAATGAGTAGCTACGATCGGCCTTCCTCTCCCCTTCTCTCCCTCAGGCTTGCCCCACAGAAACGTCTTCTATCCCCTTCTCTTCCACAGGCTTGCCTCACAGAAGCCTCCCTTATCGTATCCCTTTCTTTCCCTCAGCCTTGCCCCACAAAACCCTATCCTATCCTATCCTATCCTATCCTATCCTATCCTATCCTATCCTATCCCCTTCTCTCCCTCAGCCTTGCCCCACAGAAGCCTCCCCTATGCTATTCCCTTCTCTCCCTCAGCCTTGCTCCACAGAAGCCTCTCATATGCTATCCTGTTCTCTCCAGAGTTATTTTCAAGTTGGGAGGGGGAGTAGAACGTCTAACTAATAAGCATCAGAGTGTGTTAATAATAATATAAGAAATACTAATGATCTGATGGTCATTTCAAAAAATCCTTTCTTAGCGAGCACCTAGAAGCCAAGAGGAATATGCGTGCCATCAAGTTTGTAGGCTTTACGGTTCTGGAGATTCCGTGATTCTGCACGAGTGTTTTTCGCATATGTGTGTGTGTGTGTGTGTGTGTGTGTGTGTGTGTGTGTGTGTGAGAGAGAGAGAGAGAGAGAGAGAGAGAGAGAGAG